TGTCACAAATCAGCGACTACGATGCGTTGGATTAGAGATAACAACATTGTTTTGTTAGATTGGCCTGCACAGTCTGCAGATCTTAATCCCATTAAGGAACACAGTATAACGTCAAAAACTGTCTCAAAGAATGTCTTAATTAACGAGTGGTACGCAATAAGAGCGGACGAATGCGCAAAGCTTGTACGCAGCATGCATAAGAGAATTGCTGCTGTTATTATATCGAAGGATGGACCCACTAAATATTAATGTTATTATCACTAATTCATTGTATTTTCACTGTATCACTAATAAAACTTCATTACTTCACTTGTCAAAACAAAAAATTCAGTAATTAGTGGGGTGCTTAATATAGGTATATATATAGGTATACTCAAGCTTGCTTATATGAATAAGTGCAACTCCCAGGTGAACAGTGAACTTAAAAGTGTCTATTAGATGCTAAACTCGGGGTGCTTGGATATTATTTGGACAGTTTGCCGGCGTAGATGTTTCCAGCACCTGGAATTGCAGGAATTCCACGGAGCAAATGAATTCTCTTCGTAACAAATGGAATGGCGACCCCACACCAAATTTCTCACCCAGAGTTCACCTCCGATCTCCATCCAATAAATTCATAATGTAAAATGAGGGAATTGTCATCACGCACCACCTCTAATTTTTTAATATGAAGTTCACCTCCTCCGAGCTTTAATTGTTAGAGTATATAGCTTAGTAACTATTTTGAATAAACTTCGTCTCAACGATATCATTTCTGACTGACTAGCTTCAACCAAAAATAGAGAGATATCTACTGACGTTCGGCTCCCGAATTTAGTTTTTCTTATTTTCCATTGAGTTAGTACCTTCTTCACAAAATCTTTAGTAATTTACAATCAAAAATGACCTTAACTTGAAAAGGCTATGGAGTATACCTAGAACTACACGAGTACAAACATATATCATATCACTGATATAAATAGAAAAAGCATGAAGGTAAGATTTGTAAATATATCAACGCAAAACTAATTCAGCTATAGAAATGATGGTATATCTCTTATCATTCACTGTCTGCAATTGGGTTTAATGAACAAGTTCGCAAACAATTCAGAAGCACTAGTAGCGTTCGCAGTGCTGGTCGATTATTGATGTATACAAACAACTCAGCACGAATTCCACAATAGAAACAAAGTCAGCTGAGCATACACAAAACGGAACCGACGAGAGTGTGTTGTCTAGGCAATAAATAAAGTTGCCATGTTCCTTTATTAAATCTGAAGTTTTTTACCGAATATTTCTGCTTTCTATTGTGCACTAGGAGTAATACATAACAATTCTAATAATTGTAGGCGAACGCATTTTCCAAATGGCTAGCAGTGCAAGCTGCATACAACACTATGACCACAAGGCAAAAGTACGAGTCACTTATCTTATGAAACCCTTCATTTAAGCATAAATATCCTATTTAAATTTACTTTAAAAGCTTTCGAACACCAATGAGATAAACTAATTAATGATTGAATATATATTACTCGTATTATTTGTATATAAGTTAACTTTATTTAGCATTTATTATTGTCTAATGGCAACTCTACTAACCGCGCGAGCATTTAGAGAGTAGGCAAATAATACGAAAGAAACAAAGTAAAGCAGCAATATCAGCGAAAGACCAACAGGCAAACGTATGACATAATAATCACGGGTGGCAGCCTATTAGCGAGTCATGTGATTGTTTTCATTTACAATCTTTCTCACATAAATAGCTCTATGTACATACATATATATGTAAGTATGTACGTTTAACGAAAACACAACAGCATGCATAGATTTATTGCAGATTGCATACATGTGTTATTTTGCGATCTTGTTTGCGAATTGATGAGCAAAATGAATTGATTGAATACAGATAGCCAAGTTATTTTAAATTTTTTTCATTATATGAGCATGTCTAAAACAATATTCTTACTAGTTCCTAAAAAAAAAATTGCGTATCCTAACCATTAAGGTTAATTGGTAAACGTAAGCATTCAAGTCTGGAGGAAAATGTTGGATTTTTTTTATTATTTTAAATTAATTAACGTACTATATGCATTTTTTTTTTACTTTTTATCAAGGAGATTACAATCTACCAACACACATACGTCAATACAAAGATATGTAATGCCCATAAGATAACTTTGATTTTAAATGTTCAGGTAAATGACCCTTTACACTAGCAATATATTATTATGAGCATGCATACACGTATATATTTTTGTTTATGCATAGATCGTACTTACCTTAAATAATTTTTGGATTGAACCGGTTGGTTGTTGTTCTGTAAACGTCGATGAGATACTCCCTTATCAATTGTATCCGACGTTCGCAACTGAGTTGGATCCAAGGTTTTTCCTGCGGAAACACCCAGTGCGGTCGCTACTGTTTGTACAATAGCTGGAGATGGAACTGTTGAAGGTGTTGTAGTTGATAGTGATGTTGCGGTAGTAAGAGATGATGAACTAGCCGTTGGAAAAAAAAGTTTGTTCAACAAGGCCATAATGCAGAAGACCAAAATACGTATATAACTTCCGCTGCAAATCCACCTTTCTAATGTTATGTTTATTTACGCATTTCCATTGGTTCAACTTCTACTTAATTTGTCTTGCTCACATTTGAAACCATATTTTTTATAATTTTTCTATATTTGTGTATTCATTCGAATTTTTATAAAAATATTTGGTTTTTGAAACAGCATACCTACACAAAAATTATTTCAGTTTTCAGTATGCGCACATATGTATATTATTATTCATGCATATGTATATATGTTTGTAAGCATATTCATTTGTTTTGTTGTGCACTTTGTAACATGTACTTTGATGTATGCACATCTGCAGCTAAAATTTCACTTCACACTTCTAAAAAATATAATTTCCAGTATTCATGTGGCACTTGCACCTCATGCGACACCGCAAAACTAACTAAAGCCTATCAATATTAGCAATGGTAATTAAAAGAAAATCATAAAACATCAACAACACTGACAGCCAGCCATAAAGCACACAACAAAGAGAAAATATACACACTTCGCATTTTATTAGTTGCCTTAAACAATTGTACCAATACGCATGGCTCAAACATGATTGTATTATATTCTGGAGGATCATAGGAATATATAAACGCCGTTTATTACTATACGTGTATGTATTCTTAGCTTCAGTTTTGAATTCACATTTATTTACTGTAGCGAAAAAAGCTTTTTGTGATATGTATGTATACATATTTTAATTAAGATGCCGTAAAAATGTATACAAAGGTATCTCACTGCATATTTAATCCGAATAAACTACAGCATAAAAAAAGTAATAACATTTACACAGTTATTTCGTTTTGTTGACAATTTATACAACGTCAATGTTAATTCTTAACACGATACTTTAGGGTCTTTCTCATTTTGAATTGATTTCTCAAAGCAGAAAAAAGATATCGACCTAAAAATAATCCACTGATACATATCAAAACTAGTTATAACTAAATTCGCGAAAAGTTAAGTCACATATAAATAAATAATAGGCCAACGCCATCGCAAAAATTTTTTGACAACTAAGTACGAAATACTGTTCGTTTAACAAAGTGGATGTGCTTCTTCTTTTTAGTACAAAAAAATAAAATACGGTGAAATCACACTGCGCTTCGTGGTATGTAATAAGAAATTGGTTTAGCATTGCGAATTACGAATTTAATGAATAAGGTAAAACGATGCTACAAGTGCTATCAGAATTTTCAATTTTTAAATTTTATAATAAAATACGTATGGTTTTTACTAGCTCTAACTCTTTAAAGCAAAACATTTTGTGTTTGGTTCATTACTTAGAACCAAAAAATATATACAAATAAATGTATGATAAATATTGATTGCGTTTTTTTCTGCTCATCCTAACGTGCATGTGAATCCGACATATATTTGTTCAACGACATAGTTTAGCTACCTTTGTAACTTCTTTGATTTGTGTGTGTTTGATTTTCAAAGCTTTACAATTATGACTGTGTGGCATGCGTGGCTATCGTTTTATGAAGACCTGTGATCAAAATATTTCAAACAGTATTTTTTTTAATTTTAAAAAGCAGCTCATCAATATTTTTAAAGATAAAGATTGGAACACAACCAAATTTTTAGTCCCTTTTCATATGCAATTTATCATACCAAATCCAATGTAGTCTTCTCGTACAATAATTGACGTATCAAGTATTTTATCCTATACCCCATGCACTACAATATTTGATTTAAGTGGAAATAATTTTGCACGAATTTACTAAAAAAAATTTTATCAACGATTTTTATTATTGTATGTAATTTTGTTTAACTAAAGTAACTAAATAAAGAAAATGCGATTTTTTTCTTTTTCATGACAATCAATTGATCCATGTTTTCTTTTCTCTTAACGTTATCTTGTGTTAATTTGGATATTCGTATTCCAATATTATTTTTATCAGGCCTATTCTCACTGTTACCGGTAAAGTAAATTTTGTTTATTTTTTTTAACACCCGAAATTGAATTTGGTATTCTGGCGAACTGGTTACAATGTTTGAAAAAACTTGGGTAGCACTGAATTTTTTGTCCTTGTCAAATTACATTAGTAAAAAAAAAATAATATTCACATCACGCTTTTTGCTAAATTAAAAGGGTAATTTGTTTCTCATAAACTTCTTAGCCTACGCCTTTTTCCAATTTTTTCTACATCTTTGATGAATTCCAGGCCTAAAATATGCCTTTATGGTTTTTATTTTTCCTCAAACTAATAACACAAAATCAAACAGTAAATTTTTTGTTACCCCCATTTCGCTGTTAACAAAATTTACAGGTTGACTGTGAACTCTGTGAACTGAATACGAAAGAGTAACAAAATTTACGAAATGGTAAATTTTAATACCAAAGTAAATTTTGTTACGAAATGGTAAATTTTAATAGCAAAGTAAGTGTATACCTGATGTAAGGCCGAACTCAGTTTCAACTCTGTATGTGGAAGGAATGTTTTTTCGTCCATTACATTTCTGAGGCAAATCGAAATTAGTCGTCGGGCATCGTCACCAACTTTCATTGTATTAAATATTGCTAAAGAATTTTGAAAGTTCAAAGAAGATAAAATAGCATTTATATTAAACGTAAATGTAAAATTAAACTTGCTGGATATTTTTATTGCGAGTTGAAGTGGCCTTTGAAATTATATGATCAATAATAGTGAACGAAAGTTTCCATCTACATATTTCAATTTGTGCAAAGAACGTGAAAACTGAAACGGTTGAAGAGAAGGAAGTGATATTGGTCGTGCATTGGTGAGCAAATGTAGGCATTTCAGCCATTTCTATTACGTTATGCCCCTATATTTTCTACGTTGTTGGTTCTTTTCATAATTTAGTGGTATATATATATATATATATATGCATCAGTGTGTATAATCGTCGTACATTTTTTGAATATGTATTTCGACTATCCCAGCAATAAATATAATTGCTTTGTGACTAATATAATATAAATATTTCGGATGGTCATGTTAAAAAATACTATATTTTTTTTTATCTATATTAATTACATCTTGTGTCGAATTCAAAAAATATATTTATTCCGAAAATACTGTGTGAATGTATATATGAAAATAAGAAGCCATCTTTGTTGAAAATAAATTACAATGCATCTATTAGGAAAGATAATAGATGTCATCAACGAATAAAATATGTGTACATATATTAGTATATTATATATCGTGGTTTAATCTAACTGCAGTAAATAGACCACTGCAAAGCAAAATTCAGACAACACATCCATTTTTTAAGTTTTTTTCTGACTCGGACCATTTGGTAGTTTCAGTCTGCTCTACAATTATAATTGATATATTTAAAAAATATGTGGTTATATTTCAAGGGCTTCAAGATCATTTATTCAACCACTAAAAATGAGCAGAACAAGAATTTTTTAATATTTCCAAGCAAATGCCAAGTGATTGTACTATTGTATAGAGGAAGTTTTTCAAAGCACCTCTTTAATAAAACGAATTGAATCGCACTCCATATAGTGGCTGTAAGTGTGTTCAAAACAGCTCAAAATATAAAATAACATCCACTTATTTTATTCTCACCAACTCAGAAGATTCTTTATCTTAAAAAGGGTAAAATATTAAAAAAAAAGTGTCTGCATTTAACGTCACATATTTGCAATTCTTACTTTTGTAGTCCCTGCTTATTCTCATGATTTAATTTTTATCTTATTCCTTGTAGTTGTGTTTCGTTTTCCGTTTTCATTTGTTAGCGATCCCTTTCACCGATCGTTGTTTTATGTTGCTTAAATGTAGTCTTCCTACGAGACTGCAATCATCCCTTATAATTTTTTTTTTTAGATTATCACTAAAATTCACCAATGTACATACGTATGATATTGTGTTAGCAAAACATATATAAATATCTACTGCAAAGGTGTAAAAGTGTTTCGTCCTCCAACCTACGGATGGCGCTAGGAGTTCATTTTAAATTTAATTTTCCTAAGTCCACTATAGGTGTTGCATTAATTACTTTTATATTACATACAATCCAAATATGCAGTTACATATAAATACATATGTATATACACAAAAGAATTGGTGCACAAGTGTGATGAAGGAATGCATATATTCGATTGACGCAAATTGGTAATTTTGAAGACATTTTTGGATATCGCTTAGTTTTCGAGTTCCATTTTTGTTCTCTCTTTTTCATTTCGTCAAATTTTATAAGAAACTTTGGTAATACTTCAGCAAAGCGGAATAACTGTATTGATCTGAATGAGCTGCTAAAGAATTCAAAATGGCGTATTCAATATAGCGAACATGAAAAGTAAAAATTTATTATAAATCTAAAAAAGGTATAAACAATCTCCTGGCCTGATGGCGCATGTGATCAGTTTGCCTTTGGGAACATTTTAAAGAGCCATGATTTAGCTTTCAATTTCTGACGCCAGCAAAGATCAGGTCTAAGTTGTGCAGTTAAAAAAAACACAAAAAACCGCTATTTCTAGGTGTTTTAACCCGTATTTTATCGAACACGTAACGTGATTGGAATTGTTCATTTCGACAAATCCGTTCGGAAACGCATTTGCTGTGTTATGACCACATTTATTCGTGCAATAAGAGTAGAGATTTACAGGGCATTGAGTTAGCGTTGGTATCGTATATTCAGCCGTATAACAGCCAGTTCTATTTTGTTGGATGCACCTATACATAAGAGACGAAAAAATAGTCCTACAAAGGACACATAAAGTAATATATATAATTTTGTTGGATGCACCTATACATAAGAGACGAAAAAATAGTCCTATAAAGGACACATAAAGTAATATATTTGTATCTTCCTCTAACACATGAAGTGAAGAATTTATTCTTTTAACACATATGTTTTTCAATACATACATAACGTTTATCTGTTATGTATATACATACATACATATATTGTATGTCTCAATAATTTCTTGAAACATTTTCAACAGTTCGAACATTTCTACTTCACATGTTAAATGTTCATTACCTAAAAATTTACGATTTTGAACATTTCGAACATTTGAACATTTATCAAAATGATAGTAAAAGGTTTTGCGAATTGGGTAAAGAAGAAAGTAGTAGTAAAATTCGGAGCATTTTCTGAAATAGTAAAATTTTGTATAAAATGTGTTCTATAAAGTTAAATAAAAATCTTCAAGACGACATCTCTATCGGTAATTTTTACACGTTATTCAAACCTTTGTCAAAGCTTCTTTTATAAATGCTTTCAGAACTACCAATGAGTGATAATGGCATTTGACGTTATGTACAATAAACAATTGAATCATTTTCAATTTCCACGTTGTTGCATTCATTTTTGTTGCATGCTTAAATCTTGATTTATTTTCTGTTTAATACTATAAATATAAATATAATAAATATTAAACGTTTTTCATTTCTTATTGTCCTTACCATATAATATTTAAGTATTTATTTTTGTCTTTCATGCAGTTTTTACCATCTGTGGCAATAAACTTATATACATATAACGAATATAAACTGGAACTTAACGATCAAAAGTACTTTTAATAACAATGGCTTGTGCGACACTTAAGCGTACACTTGATTGGGAAGCACTTAATCAACGACCTACAAAACGAAGGCGTTGTAATCCTCTTGGGCAATCAGCAGGAACAACGCCATCACGCTCGTCTGCAACTTCCACTTCACTATATGAAAATGCACAGACATCCAGTGGACGAAGTATTTCCAAAGAACCACAACCCAATCCATTCACAGAAGCCAACCTATCAAAAATATCTCCAGGTAAGTATAAAATAGTGAGTAGGCTAATTTATAATTGAAGACACATTTATTAAGCGTTATACTATACAAAAGATAAATTTAAAACTTTTTTGTTTAGGTAAAATGGCTCTGGATATTCGTAATGAAATCAAAAGACTTCAACGCTGTAAGCGACTGCATTTTCCTTCGTCCACCGTAGATGGCATGCAACAGGATTCAGAATCGAGTGGTTCCGAAATGGGTGCTGACAGTCCTCGTCGTCCAGACACTCCACCGAGCTTGGTGCGTAATCCAGAAAAGGCTCTTTTTACATTTAAACAGGTTCAGTTGATATGCGAACGTATGCTGAAGGAACGAGAAGATGAGATACGTGAAAAATATAATGATGTACTGACTACTAAGCTCGCCGAACAGTACGACGCGTTTGTAAAATTCACTTACGACCAGATACAGAGGCGCTACGAAGCTACCCCAAGTTGTGAGTACAAATCAATTACAACACTACATTCAAATATTCGAAATCTTCACTACTTCTACTAATTAATCCGCAATCTTGTGGAAACCACAAATAGCTAAGAAAAATGGGTAATGGATCTAATATTCTGATGATTCTGTGCGAAAGAAAGTCATAAAAATACCATTAGTACTTTAAGAGAAAAACCATTACCTAAATATCCCTCGTATGATGGTACATTAATACAGCCTCGGCCAAAAGTATTAGACACTCCACTAATTACGGCATTTTTTTTTAACAAGTGAGAAAGTGAAGTTTTATTAGTTAAACAGTGAAAATACAAAGAATTAGTGATAAAAACATTAATATTTCGATTAATAACGACTGAAATTCTCTCATGCATGCTGCGTACAAGCTTTGCACATTCGTCCGCACTTATAGTGTACCACTTGTAATTAAGGCAGTTTTTTTTTTTTTTTGCTGTTATACTGTGTTCCTTAATCTTGCGTTTTAAAATAGTCCACATGTGACAAGCATTCCATTCCTTCATGCTTAACAGTGGTACCACGCAATATGGATGATATTTTTCCCTAACTCGTCGCCTCACGAACGTCACACCTGGAACACCTGGAATATCTGTAGAAAAGAGAAAAATAATGTTTTCATAAGACTTGTACTATGTCTTCAAAATTTCTCTAGGGTAAGAAGCTGTGGCTGTTAATACTTTAAGACGATCTTAACTAAGCTTACCTTGAAGCTTGATTCATCAGACAGAACATTCGACCAATCTTCTTCCGTGAAAGGTTGGTATCGGCGAGCCCATTCCAAACGATTTTTCCTATTATTTTCTAAGAGCCACAGCTTCTTTCGGGCTTTACATCCTTTTAAACCTGCTTCCAGGAGTCTTCTTCAAGCTGTTCGAGCACTAACTGGTTGACTAAATTCATCCGAAAGGGCAGAAGAGGATTTTTTGCGATCCTTGAGAGACTTGCGTATAAGTATTTCACTTTTTGATTTATTATTGTGGGATTTCGTCTCCACAAATCGCCTGATAGCACATTGCACCTTGGACCCCGCACCGCGAACATCCCGCCAAATTGGCAGTCTCAACCTGTGACTTACCTTCTCTTTCACTTAGAACATGAATTCTAACTCTATCATTGTAACTAATTTCACTTTTTCTTAGGCATTTCGGTAAATATGAAATGTTTTTATAAGATTGGTAACTTTTCACTAAATGTAATTTACACCTTTCCTTTGAAATTTTAAATGCGAAAATATTTCGAATTTTTTAAAAATGCCAATTTTTAGGTTTAGCTTACCCAGGCTGCTATGACTTTCAATATTTCACAATTTATTTGTTTAATCAACAGTTAAACACCCAAGTGAGACATTTACAAAAAGAAATGGTAACTTTGATTGCCACATTTGAGAATAATTGTATTTTAGTGGGGTGCCTAATACTTTTGGCCAAGGCTGTACGAGTATATAGCAAAATTTGCAACTTATATGCAGTTTGTGAGAATACGAAATTTTAACTTTTAATTTATTTTATTTAACGCAAGAATTTTTTTTATATTTAAAAAAAAGTTGAAGTAATAAACAAAATGACATGATTTTTTTGGTCGCATAATTAGAAACTTTTAATGCATACATAATGCATTATGTATATATAATTGGCGTTTTGTAACCGCTGAAGCAATTTGTGAACAAATGGAGATACAGTTTATAGTAAGCCTCCTCCGAACGGCTGATGGTTTTTTTATGAGGAGCTTTATTTCCTGTTAGAAATACACTAGGAGGGACTGGCATTCTCTGCGGAGGGGCTACTGCAACTGGAAAATTTAACTTCATTTATTATTAAAATTAATTTTCTATAAATTTTTGGATGTTAGAACGACACCAGGACTTGAACCCGAGTCTTCCAAATGGCAGTACCCAATGCTAACCACTTTGCTACTGTGGCCGCCAAATATATACTTCAAAAACTCAAAAAACAACTTTCTTAACTAAAATTTAAATACATAAAATTAGTATTTGGTAAGGTAGGGTATCCTTGGTTTTTGATTTCATTGCGGTTTTTTTGTGCTTAAGATCTCTATTTACAATGCCGCACAAGTTTTCTATAGGGTTTAGATCAGGACTTAATATTGACCAGGGCAAAACTTAGATTTTATTTTACAAAAGCCATCGTGGAAAATATAAGCAACGTGCATTTTTTCAAAACTGAAATACCTTTATATTTTATAATATGGCTTCAATTTACATTTTCCCCTCAATTCGAACAATTGGACCAACGTCACGCCAGGAAAATGTATCTCAAACTTTAATTGAGTCCACACCATGCTTATCTGTTTTCAAAGTATACGTAGGGTCCAACGATTTTTTTGGAGGAAGACTTACAGCGTCATTATGTATTGCGAAGCAATTTAGGTATCGTTGCGTTATATTCAATATGTACATATGACTCTGCTCAAGAACATATGAATGTACTTATATACTTATTGCTATAACATTTATGCTAAAAAATCTCTTCCGGTTGCGGTATAAATGCCTGTAGTTGAAACCGGGCGATTTAATTCGCACATATGTACCGTCGACACATCCTATGACACCCGGTAAGACCAACTTGGCGAAAAAGTGTTCCTTAACGCTGCTTTTTTCTTACTGTGTTCTTGCGAAGCGCCACCCATTTGTTGCAAAATTTGCTTTCAAAAATCACCAAGCACTCAGAGATTACCTCTGCTACTGTTGATTGGCTCATCGCTGAAATATTTCCATTTCCAACTGATTTCTGATAGCTCCCGCTGGCAAGACATCTGAGAAAAGTAGAGAAGTTCAATTAGGGTGGCAAGTGAGTATTTCAGAATGTGTGCTTCATATGCATTTTTGCCCATTCGAAAGTTCGTCACAAACCTACATATGTTTATATTCAAAAAATAAACACTTTTCTCTGGAATAAATTCATCAAATTATTACTCAACCTACGGCAGTTCCAGCACATTTGTTGCATCCCTTACGTTTCGCCTTTGGATGCTTAATTCCACTTCATGTGAATGTTCATTTTGTAAGTTTACAATTATTGAATACATTTTGATTTTGAATACATATTTTTCAAAATTTACAAACACCTTATTGTAAACAAATAAACACTTTAACAACTTTAAAAAGATAGATATTAGAAAAAAAACAGTGTTTTTAAAATGTTATTTGCCAAATAATTCCTTCTCGCATTTCTTTATTACGTAAGCAACGTGTAAGGGGTTGACGAACAATATAGGGAATGTCAATGCTGTACGAAACCGTCCGAAGACGATTCGTTCGCAATACATAATACATAATAAGGCCAACCGCTGCTTAACATCAAATGTAGTTGCGAAAGGATTTGCTTTGTAATTATCCTCTCCTCACTTGGCAGCGTTTCGGATTCTCAAAACTTTTGGTTGCATTGAAAACATGAATTGCTCCTAACACCATTATTTTAGAGTAATCAAAGCGTTTTCCAATTTCCGCCATAGACAGTTGTTCCTGGTGGCAGCGTACAATCAGTTCTCTCATTTGTAACGTAAACGACTAAAATGTCTCCAGCTAATTACGAAAATTCAGTAATAACTTTGAAACAAACAATATTAACACTTTTCTAATTATATGGCCACGAACGAACGTATTGTGTTAATCATAATATTTAGTTTATGCAAAGTCGTTTCTAATTATGTGGCCACCACTGTTTATATATATGTGTGTATTGCGGCAAACTTCTGTTTCATCCATTTTCTATGAATATTTTATTTAATATAATATAATTACATATAATTTTTTTTTAATTTCTTTTGCAGATCTTTCATAATCGGACCTCAAGCGTACTTCATTGCTAGTCGCTAAGATTTCATCATAGCATATATACACATATGTATTTATGCATTTTTTTTTTTTTTTTTTTTTTTTTTTTTTTTANCTGCAAAACTTGAAAATTCTCATCCTAACCAGAAAGAAATGAATAAGAGAACTGAATGCGAATACGTTGAAGAAACATTAAAAATATTCGTTGCAATTATAAATTTCGCCTAATATATAAATATTAAATCTTAATATTTGATGTCGTATTTTTAGTTTTTGATGAAATACATTTAAAGTGAACACATTTCAGGATTTCTACAATTCGACACCTCAACAAATTATACTATGTACTGTAATTACAAATTGCACTATTTGTAAAAAGATAGTTGTGAAGGTTTGAAAGCGAACAAAAATAACTTTCTAAATTGTAGACTGCATTGCAAATTTTAATAAGACTCTGTCCTAAATAATTATACGCTTTATAATCGGAATAGTTTAGGACGGTAAACATTTTTAGCTTGAACATTTTCCTAAGTTCGTTCTATACCGGTCTAAAATTTGCCAATTTATGACAACATAAATACACATCCAAAATGTACAAGTAATAAAAATTCTAATATATAAATTAAATTTTTGAAATTTATCCAATCATTCACTCGCTTTCTTATCAGTAGTACGCTTAATGTATGCTAAGAATTTTATAATAAGTACAGTAGTCTGTGGAGCAGTAAATTAAACAATTCAGACAGGTGAAATTCTTATTAAAAAATTAATTCCAAGGTTAAAAATTATACTAATTCTTTCATGAACAACATCCACAGCAGAGGAATGTGAAAACAAATAATACAGTTAAAAACCAATACAAACAACAATTGAAAACCTCAGCATCAGTAAAAGAAATAGTTATATAGATATATATAAACTAATAATATATGTTATATAAACTTAGTATAGTACAGATATTAGGTTAAAAAATTGAATTGATAAGATTATTATTTTAATAATAATGAAGTGAAGATAAAAGCTACTTAAACATTGAATTATTTGTCTTACTGTAATTAATTTAATATTAACAGGCAAGTTGATAGCGGTATGAGCTATGATTCTTGGGTTGGGATCCTCACGAAAGCAACAAAACTCAACAGATGAATATATCACCTTCGTTTTCGATTTTGTAAAAATCTGAATAGCGTAAACTTATAATTTTGTTCTTTGTTAAAATAATCGGGAACTCAGCCAATCAACCAAGAGTAGGGCGGAATTTAACCATTAAAACCGAATATTCACTTATAACACACACCGAACTGAGACTTCATTCTTACTTACTCAGACTTGATCCCGACATATCCAACGTACGTCCTGCATGCAATGAGATCTTGGGCAACACTACATGTCCCCTAAAACCAACACTCGTTTTCTTTTGGTCCGAACCTTTTTGCATAACATGCATTCCTCACTGCACCTACAAAACACACTCTAGACTACAAATTTCGGCAAAATATAAGAAAAATAGTTCTTGGTTGGCGTTAAACAAACGATGGAAACTCGATGTGCGTCTTCACTTGTGGTTCCTTTGTCACTGACATTAACTCAGTGAACCATTATGTAACCGCTTGGCATTTTCAGCCGCAAAAGTATTCCCTAAAGTAGTTTATGAAGAATGTTGCGGAAGTGACATTCTTTTTGACTTTAGTATATTAGTCGCCTCTGACGACAGACATGATTTGCTGCGGGAAAATTCTCGAACACCTACCTCGTAGGTCTGTTGTCTTTGTAGCGGTTTTTCACTCCCCCTCAGGAAGAATCTTAATCAGTCTAACGAGAGTTGGGGGGTTTATACTGGAACAACCCGGATTTTTATCGTATCATAGTGTAGATGCTTTGATTGCGGTGGTATGTGCATTGAACGAGTGCGATCTGCCGATTTTGCCTGTAACTTTGGGTTGTTTATAGTCGGAATTTTGACGCTATTGACTTTCACATCGAGTACTCCTTAGTCAAAGTGGTGAAGAGTGTAACGGGTATTTTGCTGGCAATCGTCGCCATATGAGGTCAGAGGAAATCCTGCCGGTGGAAAAGGGAGTTCCAAAATATGACACTTAAATAGCAGTGGGGTGAAGACACAACCCTGCTGAACCTCCTGTTTAATTTTTCTGAGTGTCGATATTTGACCTCGAAATTCTACCGGTGATTGGCGACCACTCAGGTAGCCCATGATCCAACTCTTCAACCCCGGCGTTTTTTTTTTTAGACCATTAGCTATCTGGGTGTTTATGGTGTTAAGTGGAGTTCAGGGTATCAGGGTTCAGGGTATATACAAACATAGTGGATCAAGCTCCATTCGCTTGTGCCGGGTGAGTAAATATACCTTAGCGCTCCAACGAACTAACGAAAATTCTCGAAATCGTCCAAAATCAGCGAGTGGTTCGAAACGCCTACAACTTGCTGCTGATACAGCAAATATATATATACATATGGATATGTATACATGCGTGCATAATAGACATTTAACTCGTTGATTTTAAGGTGGTGTGTAAAGTAGTGCTGGATTAACTAAAATGGATATCGATGACCCTGCAAGAACTGGCTGCTGGGTTCACCAATACACTCTCACGACTCCGGGCAGCACTAACACATGTGCACATTATTTTTGTTCATCTTTCTCTTCTGAGTACATACAAATTGAAGAAGAATGCAGTTGAATGGATTATCCGATTTTCTTTGTTCTTATTTTCGAGTAGGACGCCATTTTGTATCGTTTCTCCGCAGCAGATAGAAGTGAAAAATACATGATCAGGATCCTGTACAAGCTATGGTAATAATATATTTTGGACTGCAATCACTTCTTTGAATGCCTTTAAAAACCTACTTACCTAACCTAGCTTTCCCTCTGGCTCGAACCCGTCGAAACTCTTTCCTGGAACTGAAGGCGTTCTCTGTGAATTCCGTGAATCTGGTTAGCTTTTTTAAAGTTAACGAACATCGGGTGGTCCACGGAAACGAAGTCTGGAGGCCTGTCAAACGAGATTAGTATGGGTAATTTGTCCGCTATAGGCCAGGCTATGCTGTTTGGCCGACCAGCACTCGCAAATGTTATGCCTGGCGGTCTTGGGCAACTAAGGTAGGGACGTTATGGTTCATTGTGCTAGAATGCCAAATATCGTGGTGAAGCTAAAGTTATCAATAACGGTTTTCGCCTCTGAGTAGCGCACCTATATCCATATCAGGGTAATATATTGGATGGATATACAGTGGCTCAAAAATGAACTCGGACACACATGTTATATGACTTTAAACAAAAAAATATATAATAAAATGCAAATCGAGGGCTTTCTGTTAAACATATATTTCTATTCTTCAAGTGTATTTTTCAAAACAACCAAAACCATATTCAACTCGGTCGTATAAAAATAATCTGAACATAACAACTTAACAAAACTGATGACAAAAAAGAACTTGGACATATACATAACATAGAATTTAAAAATATTATTTAAAGAGAAACAAAATATTCTTAATATTTGGTCGGTAAGCCTTTTCTTTTTCTGATAACATTCAGTCTTCTTAACAAAGATTCAACTGGCTTCTTGCATGTTAAAGAATTTATTTTCCCCCGCTCTTCCAAAATAGCGGCCTCTAGGTCTTTCTTATTTCTAATAACATGCATTTTCAGTTTATTTTCCAAATGAGCCCACAGATGTTCAATTACGTTAATGACGGGAGATTGAGGAGGTGTTTCAAGCACTTTAGGACAGTAATACATCAACCATAGACGCACATCAAGTGCTTTATGCTTGGGATCGTTGTCTTGGTAGTACTGGAAATTGTCTTTAATTCCGCACTTTGCACTAAATTTTCTTTTAAAATGGTCAGATATTGCTTGTGGTCCATACTACCATTTATGAATCACAAAATTTCCAGTACCAGCTGCGGACATAAAAAACAATCCCATACTCAGCCGCCCCGTGTTTAACAGCCGAATGTAAATTTTTTTCCAGCAACTCTTCATTCGGTTTTCTCCAAACACACGACTGTCCATCTGACCTAAATATATTAAAATTGCTTTCATCTGCAAATAAAATTTGTTTCCAGAATTGAAAATCCTTATCCCCATGACATTTTGCAAATTTTATACTTTTGTTTCGGTTAAACTCGTTTATAAATGGTTTCTTCCGTGCTACTCTTCCCTTATAATTATTTTTTCGTAAGTCTATTCGGATAGTCTCCGGATTACAATTTATTTTGAGATGTTGCAAAACTTCTGTTTTTTGGATTTTTTTTGATTTGCTGCACTATCCACCGCTCATCTGCAACCGAAAAGAACTTCGGTCGTCCAGATTTCTTTGTGTTTTCCATTGATTGTGTTTGTTTGAATCGTTTAATCACGCCATGCACAGTCGAGCGGGGTTTGCTCACAATTTCTGCTATTTCCCGAATGGTTTTTCCTATTTCAAAACGACTAATAATTAACTTCCTTACTTTAAATGAACTTTGTCCATGCTGTCTACCCATGTTTGAATTTTTTTTACCTACTACTGAAATTTTATTTTAAGCTATTACGCTTGATTATATGCATATGTATTTTTAAACGAAAACAAACTAATTGTGGGATTCCCCTTTTTGAAATGCCAACAAAGAACGTATATTAATATACGTTCTTTGATGCCAAGTAACTGCAAAGAACGTATATTAATTCAAATGCACGCGCGCGCACTGTGAAAATCAGAAGAAGAAGAAGAAGAAGAAGAAAAACTATTGGTCTATTTCTTTAATTCGGTATAAGTACAGAATATGCTAGTGAATTTTTAAATGGTCTTATGGCGTAGTTGGTAGCGCGCAGAAGCTAAATCGGTTTTTGGTCTTTTGCTCCTTGTGCATGTTCGAATTCCTTTCGAAGGAAACAAAATCTTTAATCAAAATAATTATATTTTTTTATATGATTTATTTTTGCAAATTAATAAAAAATTCTTAATGTAATGAATTTAAAAATGAAAAACTTTCATTCATAAAATTTATTTTTGTGTGATGCTCTGCATTGTTTTTAGCGCGTGCAAGCAAAAATATATAAAATAGATGGTTAAAAAGATTAAGAAATATAAATCTTTAAAATTTTTTTTATTAAATAACAACAAAATGCGGCATGAAATACAATTAAAAAATTAATGAATCATTGGTTTACATTATATTTCTATTCTATTTCGTTTAATTTTACATAATTTGTATCGAATAACAGTTTTTGCTTATGCTAAACCACAAATTCTGTTATTTTACAGCCAAATTTTAACAGAGTGGTGAATCCCTTTCCCGAGATTTTCTAGCTCTGTACAAACTTCAATCGAACGGCGAACTGGTTCTCTGCTTCTCGTTACTACAGAGAACTTAAAATTATTTTAAAACTATTTTAAGTTCTCTAGTTACTATAAGCAAAGAACGTAAATTTAAATATAACGTAATATTTAAATTTACTTTGCTATAAGTTCTCTGATTCGTTTTTCTGATAAAGATATATCGAAATTCTTGCACATTATTATTTCATTTAGCTCAAATCGGAACCAATATTTCGAAACCCTTCCATTCGGCCACATTGAGCAGAGAACTTAATATAATTTCAATAGAGAATGTGAGCGTTTTTCCAAACCACTAGCCTATTGACTGGAAGTTCCATTCAGTTGAGATAATTCGGAGTATCTTAGTCGATACGTGAACCATACAGCTAAAACTGTAATTTGGATTTAATACCATAAACGTAGAATGAAGATAAAGAAATCATTATGGCAGAACTGACCAACAGATGGCGCCACTTGTTATATACTTACAAATTATTTCCACTTCCATTTCACAAGTGTTCAAAATTTTGAACGAATTTCGTTTGCACTATCTGTGGATAAACAAAAATCAAAATTGAACATTGCTTACGGCCACCGAACCCACCCTCATGTCCTGAAATCGATACCTTAAAACCTTCAAAAAATTGTAAGAAAATAATACAACTAAAGCTCGAATTGGTTGAAATTACTAAGGTTTAATTCAAAATTTTACATTGAATACCTCTTTTGAATGGGCAAAAGTTCAAATATCCTTGGTAAAAAGTACTTGCTAGGTCTTTATATACATACGAGCTCAAGTATGTGAAAAGTTTATGTGGTTTGATAGGTTGTATATAAATGCAAAACAAATATTTACAATTGGGAGTGTTGATATTTATTGCTAAACATTATAAAAATTGAAATCGAACAATATTCACCACGGACAGACGGATCAGATTCTGTATTTATCTATACTACCACGGCTGCATGAGTTCTGATAATAACTCAATCTGTAAATACATAAGTATAATACATTGAATTATAAAACAATAAATAATAAAAATATTATTTCTGTAGGGTTTTGCACTTTTGTATATTTTGCGACATTTGCCTTCCTTACGGAACATATAGTTGCTACTTTTCCTTTTTCCAAACTCCTGTTTTTGTTGTAAGGGTTTTAACAGTCACGTCCTTACAGAATTTTTTTTAATTTTAGCAATGAACTTCCAAATATACATGTCCCTCCTCCGTTCACTGCGGAAACACTACATTTTGAGAATATTAAAATGATTTCCGACCTCTTCTTTCCCATAAATGCAGGCAAAATTTACGCCCAAATTATACTGAAACTTTTGTTTTGATGCATTTATTTTTCATTGTAGAAAAATTAATGTATGTACTTACATATGTGCAAACATACAAACAAATCAAAGGAATTTAAATTAAAGCAAACGACAACCAATATTTTCAATATTTTAAAAATTCATAATCACAAAACGAAAATAAATTAATAAAATTTACGTAATTTTGCATATACATATGTATGTATGTATGTGTATACGTATGTATGATCTTTACCACCCAAATTTGTGCTAACTTCTAATTGCATTAATTATATATTTTTTGACTGTCCTCCGTTTTTATATTTACGCTTTTGCCGAAATCAGCGAAGCCTTTTTCACGCGACGTAGGAAACGATTCTTGATTCAAGTCACTGGCGCCGCATCTGTTTGCTGCATTTGCGTTGCATTCGTCGCTAAGAACATCTGTTCCCTCATTACTAGTATCCCATAGTACGACGGCATTTCTTCCGAATTTAGAAATGGTGCGCAAAAGCTCGCGACGGGCATGTACTGCTTCCTCGTTGCATTTGAAGATGATTTGGTATTCGAAATAGCCGGGATAAAGTTCCCGTCCAACTAGTTTGTCGAAATTTATTAGCTTGCATAGCAATTCATAAACACTTTGGGGTGACATGCGATACGTCTTCTTCAATAATAGTTTCGAGGAATTACGTGATTGGCGTACACGAATCATCGGCAAAGAATGCTGTCGAAAAAGAGCCGGTAAGCTGCGAAAGCTAAATGTTACAATTTGGTAGTATAAAATCCAAATTGTTAACACTTACCGTATAATAGCCAGTTGCATGAGTGTTGGATTCAAATATTGAAGATACGCAAAGCCCCGAGAGTCACCAGAAAAGTTGACTTTGAATCTTAATATGTATAATTCTCCGATTAGCGCAGCGACCTCGGCAATGGCCTCCGCTCGAATCTCGGGCGGTATACCACTAAGGAATATCTGTAAAGATCAAAAAACACACAAACACACAACCACAAATCAATCCTAATTGTACATTGTATATCACAGATTATTATGCCTAACCTCGCCTGCGCATGCATGCAGTTGTTTCTGGAGGGGCTCTGGTATGACTTTTAAGCATTTTAGATATTTGGTGCCGTTTTCCTGATATGATTGATAATTTGGGGAAGGAAACTCAAATGGTGACTTCGTATATTGAATTAGTGGTTGATGTTCCTGATCACAAATTATTGACTCTGCCTGCTTCCTTTGCTTTTCAAAATAAAAATCCATTGTAAGTACTTTAAAATTTTTGGAATTTCAATTTGCTCAGACGAAAGTGTTTGGAGTTTTCCGGGAAATTGATGCCGTCTTGATTCTCAACTTTTTCTCTCTTTCGGCGAGCTGATTTGTAGCAGCGAGTTTATAATTCCAGGAAGAATCTAATTACTATATACACATACAGAAATATGTATATTTTAGTGCATATGTTTGCATAGTTTTACCATGCATTTACACATATAAATATAATATATCAAATAAATATATATATACCTATGTATATATTGTACTCAAATAAAAAATATGTTCATATATGTACATATCACATACACATAAATATATATATATTTGAACGCATTGGTCAGTTCAAATCTAAGTGCACGTATGAATGTACCCTGTCGGAACTCTTGTGATTGTTAGTTCAATAACATTTGGCCTAGTCTTAGGGTTTGACCTTCAACCACTTGGTCACATTATAGGTCTTCCGGGACCCGTCCTCTCTCTTCCCTGCCCGATGTAAAATGGTATTTGTTTGTTTTCTTCTTACTGCATACGTATTTATTTAAAAATATTTTATTTTAAATGAAAGATATTTATAATTTTTTTGTACAACAAGTAATCTTCTAATATACCAAGCCATTTAGCAAATAATTATTTTGGGCAATCCAATTGCTTGCAATTAATGGGTGAGTTCCATAACGTCTGTTGCAAGGCAACCATACATTGTCACGCGTTCATAAATGCAACTGTGCAAACTTTGACGATGTGTCATGTTACAAAGTGCATCGGTAAAGTTATTGATGCGTAAACAAAAGCAAACTGCGCATCGCTAAGGTTTGTGATGCTTTATTTTATCATAAATTTTTAACAACAATGACCGACTCGGAGGGCCATGTTTGAATATATTTTTGATCTGTTTTATATATGTCGAAATAACAGTTGTAAACAATCCCTAATTGCCTGTAGAGACGTGGGGTTACATTTGTAATCTGTAATACCTGAAAAGCAAGTTAGTCGAGTGATCTCTACAGGGTACACATCAAGTTAAAGAATTCAGATTCATATACATACATATGTATATTGATACATACAAACACACTTTTCAATTTCTACAAGCCCTCAAAGAAAATATATGAAGTGCTAATGAAAAGAAACCAGTAGTTTACAAATGATCTAGGACTGCGTTACAACAAAATAATTATTTAACACAAATATATTTAAATAAAATTAAAATCAGATTAATCTTTTGCATATTAACACGACTGTCGTAGGTAATATGTATATGCATAAGCCTCTCTTTCCTACATGGATGTAATTTGCCATTCTGAACGCTTGCCAACGAATCAGTGAAAGCGATCTGAAAATTTGCGCCTGGGTAACAATCAGACTCAAATTGACTTCAATTTTATCGCAAGTAGTCCCAAACGGGTTTATTTGAAGTTCAATTGGTCATAAAGTGAGTCTTAACGAGTATGAGTAATAGTCTTCCAATGAACTGCTAATAATAAGCTAGCGAGGGATGCGCTGGTCCAATGTCACATTACTGTGTCCCCTGTAAGTAATTCCAAAGCAGATGGAATTATCTCCAGGCAAGGCAAGAACATTATGTCTAAAGTTCACATAAACTGATCACCCTTTCATGTAGTTTGTATGTAGTAATACAGTGTTTAGCGAGCTAAGAGGGTTTATGGACGTGTAAAAGATGGTCCCATGAAACAAGACTTTCTCGAAGTATAAGGCCATTATTATCAATGTATGACTGTCAATAGTGACGTGGGAGCCAGGAGTTATGTAAACCCTTCTTTGTTCGAATGCTCTCCCACACATATTCGAATATGTAGTAATTATTGTACATCCCCAAACTTACTTCCTACTTTATTTTTACTACTCTAGTTTGTAAATTACATTTTCATCTAAGTTAGGTTTTAAATAAATGTTTTTAAAAAAAAACGAAGTAGTTTTAGTTTAAAAAATAAATTAAGGAAAGAAACACATCTTTTTCTATTTAGTTTATTTCATTGGCGCAGTCGGTAGGGTAGAACGAAATCGGAATATATAATACTAGTGTGTTATTGCTTATATATCTAAAATACAAAATATTATATTATTTAAAAATAAGTGCTCATCCGAAAAATTAACAGGGCCAACAGCTATATCATGTCACGCCACACCACCTTCGATTTATTAGCGGATGTTCATGAATTTAACGACAAAGCTGTGGAGCTCGATCTGTTTATTTTACATATTGATGAATTGCGGAATATCACAACAACAACGGAACCCAGTTTTTTTAAATTGTTTGATTTAAGAAACCGTAATAAAATAATAGGTAAAGCGAACATATCGCTAATAAATAATGGAAATCCATTAGAATGGGAAACTATAAAAATTATATTGTAAGCGAATTTTGGCATTTATGAAAATATTGAAACTATTGTTAATCAAATAAAAGCCGCAGAATGTAAGACCAACATTAACAACCTCTACGAATACTTAGCTGCGCAGTTAACTAAGCTAAACTTAAGAGTCAACCTTGAAAATAATAATTGGTATGATTACGTCTCGAATGAAAAAATGGTTCTAAAAATTTTTACAAATAAATTGTCATTTGAACCAAAACGTATACTTAATGCTAGGAACCCAAAATCATTAATAGATGCTAAAGAAATTTTAATTGAAACTAATTATTTATATAAAAACATGAATTACATTAACAGAGGCTCAAGAAATGTTAATTCACAACAACTAGACCAACAAAACCCATTAAAATAATAGCAATAGAAATTTTCGAAATATGCAAAACAGTCGGGTACCGGAACTAACCTCGTATCATAGACAAGAACCACTCAACATTTACAGAAATAGCTCACAAACTAAAATGTCGAATACAACAATAAACAGGAAGAATCCCAGCAACGTGAGACTACAAAGAGATGAACAAATGGAAATTGACAACATAGAGGCAGAAAAAATTATTTGATTAATAAAAATTTATTTAACAGTGTTTTTAGAAAAAAATTAGATAGACATATAACATTAAAAACCATTAATTCAACAGCTTTGATAGATTCAAAAATAACCATTCCTCTGTTTAAAGAATTTAATTTACCGAATATTAACGTAGAAATATTAGAAGCTAAGTTAGACAATAATAAAAAAAAAACAGAGTTAGACGGTTTATGTTCTAAAGTAATAGAAATTCAATTTCATAAGCCAGATATTGAGAATATCACTGAAAAATTAAAAACCGATGATTTAAATAAAGCAGAAATCGAAAACTTACAATCTTGATAAAGCGATTCAATTAAATTTTTTATAAAGAAGGTGACTATATGTTAAAGTCTGGCATATTAACAAAATCTTCTAGTCCATATAACGCACCTATCTGGGTAGTTCCAAAAAAATTAGATAACTCTAAAGTGCCAAAGTGGCGCATTGTCATTGATTATAGAAGGCTCAATGATGTAACTGTTGAAGAAGAAGAACTGAAATTCCCTATGCCAAATATAGATGACCTATTGTCAAAACTAGGCAATTCAAATTATTTTACAACATTAGACTTAGCAAAGGGATTTCATCAAATTTCAATATGCCCAAAAGACAGACATAAGCGCAGTTTTCAACTTCAACAGGTCATTATGAATATACCCGCATGCCATTTGGGCTTAAGAACGCTCCAGCGTCATTTAGTGAACATTTGGTTTCTTTAGGAAAAATTTTGAAAAGACTTTCAGAACATAACCTTAAAGTACAGATTGATAAGTGCAATTTTTTTCAAAGAGAAAAAAACTAAGTAGTTTTAGTTTAAAATAAAAAATAAAGAAAGAAACACATCTTTTTCTATTTAATTTATTTCATTCAAGGCGCGAATGCGATGACTGTCTCTTTGATGACAGGAAATATCTTGTCCTCTTTCACTGCCAGACCCATTAGCTTCGCTTCTTTATTAAGCCTATTGAGGCCGATAATGTCAATATCATTGGCGTACGCCAGTAGTATCTATCTCTAGTATTAAATTGAAGAAATCACACGACAAAGAGTCACCCTGTCTCGTTTGGTACCGAACAGCTCGGAGAGGTCCTTCCCAATTCTGACTGCGAAGAGGTGGTGTGTGTCCACTTTTCACGGGTCTTTTCCAAGATTTGGCGCATGGTGAAGCCACACTAAGGTCCAATCAGTTTGTTGACGGTGGGCTTTAGTCTTTTACACAAAAACTCGAGGCTATAAGGTCTTAATATGCGATGTTAAGGAGGTTTATCCCACAGTAGTTGGCGTAGACTGTGGGATGACCCAATCGTTGGGCATGCCTTCATCGGACCATATTTTGCAAACAAGCTGATGCATGCACCTTGTCAGTTCTTCACCGCCATGTTTAAATACCTCTGCCTGTATGCTGTTAGCCCCAACCGCTTTGTTGTTTTTTAAGCGGAGAAACGCTATTCGAAATTCGACATGGTCAGGTAGCGGAACATATGTTCCATCGTCGTTGACTGGGCATTCGGGTCCACCATCTCCGGGTATTTCATATTCACTGCCGTTCAGCAGGCAGAGAAGTTTTCTCTTCATAAATTCATTTTGATACACAGAGGCATGTGCGTATCTTCGCTGCAACAGGAAAGGGATCCGAGTTGATATTGAGTGCGCACGACAAGAACACTGGGGACATGTTTTCTGTCTATCACAACATGATCGAACTGGTTTTCGTTTTTCGATACTTGGTCTAAGACCGGAAGTCGGGAGCTACTTGAACCATATACAAAGGAATCGTTTCTGGCAACTCCCAGGTGAGTGACAGTGAAAAACTTTCCTCACTTTCGTGAACTTCTACACATGTCCCCATCCCATAGCTTAACCACTTCAACTAATTATGCGATTTAAAGCCACACATCATCCATTCTTTTTCACACTCCTTTCCCCGTTTTCGAAGAAAATCGGTCAATATGCCGCACCGTACAGTCCCTTGTTGATGCATTGACTGTACTATGGCTGTGTGTGTGTTTTTTTTTAGCTCCAAATACCGCTGTTTATAGGAAAATAGATTTTTCGTTAGAAGCTCATCTTCTGAATGCCGAGGTCTTTATGCAAAATCCTGCGCATTGAACTGTTTAATTTGTGTGTCGATCTTGTGTGTAATAAATAAATTGGCACTGTACTACCTGCCCCTAAAAAGAACCGTCCTTGTAGTCCGTCTGATTTTCGACCAATAAGCGTCCTCCCTGTATTGTCTAAAGTTTTTGAGA